ATGTGGGATCCGAACCGGGGCCCTCTGGCATCCCAAGCCAGTTCTTAACCATCGCGCCACTCAGCCGGCCCTCTGCCCATATTTTAATTGGATTGTCTGAGTTCTTTATTTATGTTGGATATTAGCCCCTTAACAGAGGTGCTGTTTGCAAATATCTTCTCCCATTCGGCTGGTTGCGTCTGATTTTTTTTATGGTTTCTTTTACTGTGCAGAAGCTTTTCAGTTTGAGATAGCCCATTTATTTTTGCTTTTCCTTCCCTTGCCTTTGAGGTCAAATTCATAAAATTCTTCTAAATCCAAGCTCCATAAGTTTAGAACTTATGCTCTCTTCTATGCAAAATTTATTGCTTCAAGTTTTATATTTAGGTCTTTGATCCATTTTGAGTTAATTCTGGTGTATGGTGACAGCAGCCCAGTTTCATTCTTTTGCATGTGACTTTCCAATTTTCCCAGTACCATTTAGTGAAGAGGTGTTCTTTTCTCCACTGTATGTTTTTGGCTCCTTTGTTGAAAATTATTTGCCATGTATATATATGTGGCTTTATTTCTGGGTTCTCAATTCTGTTTTGAATAACATCTAGGTGTTGCTGCTAGGACTGGGGATTGGCAAGGTGAGAAAAGTTGGGGGTACAAAATATAAGCGGAAATAACAAGAAATTAAGCTGAAAAGGTTTCATCTGAGGACGATAACAGTTGGAAATGTCTGTCAAGGAGTTCGAATAACCTGGTGAGGTAGTTACTAAGCAATTTTAAGTAGACAAAACATGGTCCCCATACTATTTTAGCCACAATAAGTTTTAAGAAAATCATGAGCTAACTATATGCAAAGTTGAAAATGCTGTTTTGTAATTTATTTTTAAATCAAATTAAAATATTAAGCTAGTGTTTAATGCCAAGGAAACATAAGACAGCTGTGGATCACTAGTTTCACTTTTCAGTAATGTAAAACTCTCATAATTACTGTGAAAAAGTGCTCATTAGTATGTTATTAAAACTAGCATAAACTGAAAAAAAATTACAACAAATAGAATGTGTAGCTTTAGCTTACTTACATCCCCAAACAAAATGTAACACCAAATATACAATGCCTTTTTTTTTTAAACATCAAGACATCTTGTCAATGTAACAACTAAGTCAAGGAAGCTGAAAAAAGTACCTCTCTATGCTGAAAAAACAACAGCATAGCTAGTATTTGTGAAAAAGCCTGGGGTGGGACTTAAATAAATCTTAGATTCACCTAAGCATAAGGATTTCAAGTACCTATTAATTTTCTTAGTCCACCACCACACCTATAGAAGCCATGCACACAATGAATGATAAAACCCTATGCCTTTAAGACAATCAATGCTCCTTAGCCTAGAATAGATAAAGTAAGCTGAATCAGACACTTAGGAATCACTGTTATTTCTTTTAATACTTTTAAATAGACTACGGAGATAGTGACACCAAAGACCTATCTTTCTAGTACGCAACAGAAAGTAACATTATGGGCAATTCCTTTTTTTATTTTTTGTCTATACAAAAAAAAGTTGCTATTTTGTGAATCCCTTTCGGAAACTGCAAAGTTTATTTTCAGAATATAGTTTGAGGTAAAATTCAGATAAATAAAAACAAATACTGACATTCTCCAAAGATAATGCTTAGACAACGTCTGGTACACATCTGACTTTCCTATTCTGATAAAAAAAGTTCCACAAGTTTCTGTGACATGGTTTTCTATTTTATCATGTACTTAGGTATTAAAATTCTCCTTAATCTCTAAAAGAAAATGTACTATCTACTTTCAATGATGAAGAAAGTACTTCATAGGATGAAGCAGTAAATGACAATGAATGGTTGACTTCTACAAGCAGAACACTACACACATTTGGAAACATCACAGCAGGTTACTTCTACTCAGGTTACCTTAAAATCACAAAGATCTGTAAACCTTTCCCTACTAAGAGAAGCATCAATTGTGAAGACCAATCAAAGATTATTACTTTGACCTGAAAATAAAAGAAATTATGTAATTTTAAACTTGTATCTTGGAGAATTTGATGTTCCTTGGCAGAAGCAACAAAACAAACTCTAATTTCTCTTGCTAGTACCACATAGCTTTATAAGTCACATTTCATCTCTTGATGTCATTAGAACAAACAGAATTAAATGCCAAAAATGTCATGTATATTATCATGTATGCTACAAGGTCCTTTTCTTAAGCTAACTCTTAACCAACTGAGGCACTCACCGGGCCCCAAAATCCTTTTCTTCTTCAAGCTAAAAAAGTACCCTGATCTTCAGTCAGCTAAAAATTGCTTACAATTTAAATTTAGTACAATGTTGTTTTCAAAAAAAGGCCATTGATTTTCTTTCTTACCAATCTATCAGAACTGTTTCATTTCCCTTACAAATTACCCTAAACTTCAGTGTCAATCATTTCAACACATGCCCAATTTTCTCACTCCCTGTCCACTTAAACCATCAATGACTAACCTTGTATCAATCTAATCATCAGTTGCTCTGATTCTGCTCCCAAGATGCCAAGTACCATTATAGTAAAGAAGATAAGCATACTAAATCTGCAACATTGCAAATTCATGAATCCACTATTTATTGGGGAGGCTAAGGCTAATTAGCAATCTTTTTTTATCCTTAACTGGTCTCTCTTCATCACTCTTTTCCTGTTACCAGGCTTTTATCACTCACCTCTAAAACCTAATCCCATTTCCTAACCAAGACTCTTAACTTAGTATATAAAATATTTCACATAGACAAGTAGGATTTGTTCATTGTGAACCCAATTAAACTAAATATAGTCAAAATAAACTGCTCTTTATACATCCCATCTTCATCTTTCACTGCATTTCCCCTCAAAAAACTAGATTATATACCTAATTCAAATCAAAACACACACAATGCTTCATAAAGTACAACAACCAGATGCTTACCATCCTTATTGTCTTTAAAGAAAGAATTCCCAAAAGGTACTTCACAAAAAAAATTAAGTAAAAAGTTATATTTTTTATAATCTCAACACAATGGCATACTTTATACTCACCAAAATGAAGTACAAACACAATGTAATGCTTCTTATTCATTATTTCAGTTTATTACTATTTTTGAAAGAATTCTTTAAAACATTAGAAATGCCTAATTTACTTTGTATTGAGAGTTGAATTTAGGTAGGTATTAGTGTATTGAACCTGAAAAAGCTAAATGTAATTTTTCATTACTAATTGAAAGCAAATTCTGGTGTAGGTATATTAAACACTTTAGCAAATATACAGATACCTGTTCTCTACTCTGTCAACAATTTAAAATATTTCACTTTTATTTTGCTTCATAAAGAATAATGGAGATCAAAGAGAAGGTGAAAGGGGAGAATACTAAGGTAGGAAATGATCTGCAAATGCCTGAAGTGGGTTACAGCCAGGGAAAAGATGTGTATAAAAATCTTTTCCCACATCCTGCTGTAACTGTTTTACAGATGACTGGGTGTATAAGTAGAGAAGAAGTAGATATAAATAAATCTCAGTTTACAAGTATGTTTACTTAGAAGAGGAATCTATAATTATCTCAACAGTGTAAAATTTGCAACTGCTCTCTTCAAAGACAGAGAGAGAAATTTCCATTTTAACTTCCATTTCCCATTTTCTTATTTCAAAGGAAATTAAGGGCTTTGTGAATGAGTGCACTACCTTCAGCCCACAGGGTGGTATTTAATCGTAAGTACCACCATATTAGTGTGTAAGTATTACCCTTAGTGGATATAATAGTTAAGGCACCTGAAAATAAACAAGTATTTCCAACAGTAATTTTCTTACTTAAAGCTGAAAAGTGGTGCTTTTCTCCATTCAAAAAATTAAAAGAAACAACAAACTCCAAGCGCCGCTTTGAATATAACATCAGATACATTAAAGAATGAGGTGTTAAGTAATAAGCAAAGCATGTTAGATATGCTCAGAATTTTTTCTATCACTATTTTAAGGAGATTTTCCCATAGATTAGCAAGTGGTTGTCTACAGATAACATAATAAGGTACATTTATTGTAACAATCTCTTCTAATTTGCTTATTAACACACTTTGGAAATGTCCTTGGTTTAGAATTAAAATTATGGTATGACATTTTACAAAATGTCAAACTGCATATTTGATATAAGGCTGGATTCTCCATGATGTAGGACTATAATATAACTGTGACTGTGCTATAACAGGTCTTTCAGGAATTTTCCAAATTTGGCCAAAGTCCAGCCTTAAGTAAAAGCTTCTGTTAATAAGCTAAATTATCTGAATTTCCAGTTTTTCATTAAAAGAAAAAAAAAAAAGGTTTTATCTGAAGTTCAACTATAAGCAATGTTTCTTTAATTCCACACATGAATTAAGGTATTTTAAAAATTACTTACAGTAAATATCCGTCTGCCAGTTCGATCAAAAGTTACACAGTACACAGACGACAAGTGTCCAAGAATTCGTTTATGCATTTTCATGTGCTGATATACTGCAGTTGGAACAAGTCGCTCAAGCCTGTATTTCCCATTCAACCTCCTTGAAAACAAAGTATCCGCTACCAAAAAAAAGGGAAAAAAGAAGTATAATTCAGAAATTAATTTTCTTAATTATCATCTCTTAAGAATTCACATATTCTAATTTCTCATGTGTTGGTAAAAATAGAGATGCTTTCTAACATATATGGTTCCCAGTTAATTAAAAGTCTCTAAAATAATCAATAAAAATACATTATTTCACCTGAGGTAAGTTAAGTTAGGGATTTCTATCCTCATTTTACCACCAATTCAATTAAGCGACCTATCTAAAGTCACAAAGTAAATAAAGCACGAGGCTAGGATTAAAATTCAGACTTTATTCTCTGGTCAGTGCTCTTTAAAAACCAAAATCATTTTATGTGATATTATTTCTTTAAAATGAGATAGGCTTTCTTACAAAAGCAGTTAAAACTGAATCCAGTAATTTTTACTTTTTATCAACCAGCAATTCCTGAACACTCTAAATTTGACAAACTAAATGATGTTTTAAAAAACTTTACAAAAAATGACAAAGGAATAACTCATTGCATTATTTTAAAAAAGAATTAAACTGGGGATCTTGCCAAACAACTGTTTTGATACAATCTCTAGAACCTATTGGTTGCTCTTTTTTCAACTCATCCATTTTAATCATCTTTCAAGATATGACTAAAATTTATCCTCTACCCCAAAGCCTGATATGCTGACTCCAGCCCAAAATACTTTCTTCCATCTAAACTATGACTGTACTTATTTTTTATACTGTTAATGATGGATAAAGAAGGTGCTCAATAAATATATGCTGACAGATCTTCAGGTACATTATTCACCGATACATTATCTTTTAATGTAAGAATTTTTTTCTGCCTGTGACTGCCATCTAGTAAGTACTAGATGGACAGCAAGCACTACAGTTTCTCACTTGAATTTAGTCCCAAAGAAAATTATAAATATATACAAAATACTATTTAACCTAGATTTAGAGACTAGCAATTAAAGTTGATAAAATACAAATATCTCAGCTGTATCAAAGAATACCAGCATTTTTTAAATCTACATACAATAAATGTTTGTATATTAAAAAAAATCTTGGGTACTGGTGAGGAGATATATTGAAAAATGTTTTGCAGATTCTAAAGCAATAATATTTCAAGGAATAATTACATTATGCTTATCTGCTCTTTTACTACATCAATAGTTTTATAGTCTAATAGAGTATCTCTCTTGCTGTTAGCATATAATTTCTATGTAACAATATTTCAACATGTAAGAATGTCTAAGATAAGCTTTAACAATTGTGAATCAGCATATTAGGCTTAAGCTGGTATACAATAACCTAACAGTGATTCAAAAAGTTTCTAATAAGCCCTGATACATTTTTCTTTATGCACAGAAATGGCCTGGTAAAAGACATCCTCCTCTGGCTCCCAACTGATTTAGAGCAAGTCACACAAAACCACAGAAATCAATTGTCATGATGCAAACGATCTTATTTAAACACCAAGGATCAATGATGTCTCAGGCTCACCTCTCTATTCTGCAGGAAAGTGATGACATATAACACAAACACTGACAGTGTTACCAAGATGTAGTTTAATTCCCACCATCCAAAATTTACAAAATTCTTAAAATGTCAAATTTTGTTAAAATATTTAACATTGCTCAGTTATAAAAAAATTGTTGGGCCGGCCGAGTGGCGCGATGGTTAAGAACTGGCTTGGGACACCAGAGGGCCCCGGTTCGGATCCCACATATGAGGGCCAGTGACACTGCCCTCTGCAGCTAAGATGCTGAACAACAGCTCAACCTGGAGCTGGGCTGCCGTGGGTCGCCGGCGACGGCGTGGCCTGCCCCTGTGGCAGTGGGTTGCCATGGGCTACCGTGGTGTGTAGCCAGCAGCCAGCGTGAGCGGCCAGCAGCCGCAGTGAGCGGACGTCCAGAAGCCGGCGACTGATCTGTCTCGCCCGGGAAGAGCGCAATGATGGTGCCAACTTGGGCCAGTGAAGCAACGTCCTCCACAACTAGACTGAAGAACAAAACGACAGCAACTTGTCTGTTCCCCTTCCCCCAATTCCCCAGCACTGTTCCCATCCCCCAATTCCCCAATAAAAATCTTTAAAAAAAAAAATTGTTGGAGATAATTATAACATCAAAATTACTATTTTAATGATGATCAAGAACTAGAATACATGTTAGAATTTTTTTAAATGAATTTGTTATAAAGACCATTTGAAAATCAGAGTACATGAAGAATTTCCTAAGCAAAAAATACTTCCTATAAGTAAAGAAAGAAAATGTTACTGTTCTCTTAAACAGTTTTCATCAAATCTTTACCTAAACTGGAATTAAATATTTATTTTCATTTTGGGAGTCAACTGAAAAAGAGACTATCCCTTTCGACAAGTTACGTTATACAGTCAACTTTTCAAGTAATACTTTCTAGAAACATAACATTAAGTAAAAAATACTTATAGTTAAAACTATATTCCACACTATCCTTTGTTATGCTTCGTTACCAATTGATTATTGAATATCTACACTATGACTGTTTCCTAAGGGAGAAGGTACCTAGCAGAGACCTTGCTCTCAATCAAATTACAAACTTGTGCAACAGTCCTAAAACATACAACCTACAGAGAGAGCAGTATGTAGTTTCCAGGTAATAAGTTGGTAATTCAAACTGGATACAGGGAGTTAGAAGAGAAAATGTAAGTATGGTTCAACAATAAAAGTTCAACTGAGGAGGTTGAATTTGAAGAAAGTCTGACCAGATCGAAATCGGAGAGAATTTTTACAATGGTAGAGAAGAGGATGGTCTAGGATACCCATTTAGTGAACTCACATTTTCTTTTACTAAACTGTTTGTATAATGTCTATCTCCCTTATCAGATCTTAAGTAGTTTAAGGATAGAAAAACTGTCTTATTCATATTTCCTACAACTGAGTGTAGAGTCTTTTAAATTAAAAGGTATATAAATGAATCATAGTTAATAATAAGATACAAAGATGATTCAATTTAATTTACAGTTTTATGGCAGAAAGGCAAATGGCAATTATTCACTTTCTAAAGAAATTGTTAATAGACTAATTGGATTTTTGAGTAAAAAGGAAATGTCTCTTGGACTATAGGAACTCCTTAAATTTTATTAAACTAGAACATCAATTTTCTAAATGAGCATGGTTAAACACATATAAGAGGTCACAAAGGAATAAGTTCTTTATATGGTATTATAATAGTTTAACCTTAAATCAAGTAGCATATATGGCTTTGGTTTAAAAGTACATTTATTTTCAAAAGTATGGTGAATGGAAATAGTCTTAAATTAAGCCTGACAATGCAAATGTCTATTTTCTTCACTTGGCAAATTCTTACCCTCCAGGACCAGTTGAAATGTCACCTCTTCTAGTAAGACTAGTGAATTTCAAAAGCAACCTAACTCGTCACCCTGCAACACGGCTCCTCTGCTTAAAACTGCAACGCTCTTCATTTCATTCAGAATATCTCCAAATTCATTACACATCAGTCTACCAAGGCCCTGCACAATCTTGTCTCCTATTACCTCTCTGACCTCATCTGCTACTTCTCCCCTTACCTGGTCTGCTCCAGACACTCTAATCTTGCACATTCTTCCAACACATCAAGTATGCTCCTAATTTAGGGTTTTTGCTTTGGCTGTTACCTCTGGTTAGAATATCCCCCCAACATGGCTGGCTAATTCTTTGACCTTCTTGTCTCACATTCTTATCATATCTCAACAAGGCCTAATCTGATCAGTCAGTTGAAAATTGCAACCCATTGCCTACCACCACTCCTAACTCCTAATCCACCTTTATGGAGCGCTGTATTTGTCCATCACTTATTACTTGATGCTGTACATTTATTTGCTTATTATGTTCACTGTTTATTTCCGGCCTCCCCTTACTATAACATAATAAGCTCCATATGGGCAAGATTTTATCTGTTTTGTTCTTTGATTAACCTAAGAGCTGACAATGATGGCTGGCACTTAGATGATCAATATATATTTGGTGAACTTAACGAATAAATTACATGTGAATAAAACCACTAGGTTTAGGGATAAAACAAAAATGAAGGATTTCTTTATTGTACCGATTATAGATACAAAATATCTCTAAATAGTTCTTCATTTCAACTGCCATGCTAAAAGGATTTAATTTGGAGGGAAAGGGAGAAGTAAACATATTTATTCAATTTTCTGAGTAAATAGACCAGTAAATGAAATAAACATTCCAGAAATCACTGTTATCCATTTGAAATACCAAATCTATTCAAGTGTCATTTGTCACACATCATTCAGAACAGTCTATGAAACAAAGTCTATGTATACAAGTCTACAGAACTAATTACTAGAGATAAATAAAAGGCCATGATTTCTTAAAGACACAGGTTACTGTCTTTATCTGTATCTAGTTAGTAGGTTCTTATCTGTTACTTCTCAAGGCACTAGGATGATTACATCAAATCCTCCCACAAATCACTTTCCTAGTTCATGCCTAGTTATTTTTCAAGAATTGATTTCTCTAATCATAATACTAATGCATATTCGATGTAGAAAATAAGAACACACAGAAGAAAAAACCATAATTCCTAAATCAATCACTTTTAAAATTTTGCAGATTTCCCACATAAACAGCATTTTAAGTTATGCTATATTCTTTAGTAAGAGCTAAGGCTTTAAATTCGACACCCTTGTGTTCAAATTTGACTTTGTGGCTGACTTCAAGAAAGTTACCTCTCTCAACTTCAATTTCTCCAATCCTATTTCTAGAAACATTTTCCACAATATATTTTGCTTTCATATTATGCTGTTTGGGTTTTTTGACATCTCAAGATTTCACAAATTTTACATAGTCAATTCTATCAATATTTTCCCTTTTATAATTTCTTCTACTTCTTTAATATAAAGACTCCTCTTCCTGACCACCGCACTGTATTTCTGAAGCTGATTTTGAATAATATTGTATGTGAACTATAATTATATATAAATATAGTCATGGGATGTGGAGCAGAGTGTGGGTA